AAAAAAATAAAAAAGAAAAGAAACTGGAGCCCTCATCCACTACTGGTAGGAACACAGAATAATACAGTCAAAAAAAAAAAATAGTCACTGTGGTTAATTTTGACAGTTCCTCAAAGAGTTAATAATACAGTTACCATAATCCAGTAGTTCCACTCCTGGATATATATTCCTAAGAGAATTGAAAATATATATTCACCCAAACATCTGTACACAAATATTCGTAAAAGCCAAGAAGTGGAAACAATCCAAATGCCTATCAACTGATACATAAATAGAATGTAATACTAGTTGGCCATAAATAAGGAAGTACTGGTACATACTACAATATGAATAAAACTTAAGAACATGCTAAGTGAAAGAAGTCATACCCAAAAGGCCACACCTTATATGACTCAATTTACAAGAATTCATATAAGTGACTGTCCACAGCAGGCAAGTCCAATAAAGACAGAAAGTAGATAAGTGATTGACAGGGACTGGCTAAGCAAGGGTTTCTTTTGGGGGGTGATGAAAATATTATGGAATTGAGAGTGGCAGTGATTGTACAACCTTGTGAATATACTAAACCCACACAAATGTTCACTTTTTTAAAAAATATATTTTATTGATTTTTTTACAGAGAGGAATAGAGAGTTAGAAATATCAATGAGAGAGAAAGATTGATCAGCCGCCTCCCGCACACGTACCAGTGGGGATGTGCCCGCAACCCAGGTACATGCCCTTGACCAGAATCAAACCTAGGATCCTTGAGTCCACAGGCCGATGCTCTATCCACCGAGCCAAACAAGTCAGGGCCAAATGTTCACTTTTAAAGGGTAAATTTTATGGTATATATATATTATATCTCAAAACATTTTTAAACAAATTTATTAAGATAGCTAAGTGAATAGCATTCGGTGTTTAAATAAAAATGTAGAAGTCAGGAAAAGCCTCAAGAACTGAAAATGCAAATTTTTTTTTAATTTTGTTGATTTCAGAGAGGAAGGAAGAGGGAGAGATAGAAGCATTAATGACCAGAAGAGTCACTGATCAGCTGCCTCCTGCATACCCCCTACTGGGGATTGAGCTCACAACCTGAGCATGTGCCCTGACCAGGAATCAAACCATGACCTCCTGGTCGACGCTCAACCACTGACCAGGCTGAAAATGCAATTTTATTAAGAGATGACTAAGTGATGGGGAATAAAGGAATCTGCATAATTTTACATACAGAAATTAAGGGAGGGACAAAAGTGGGTTAGAATTCTGTGCCAAAATGTGCAAGAATACAGCAAGTAGACTACAAAAAATGTGTAAATAATGAAGGCCAGCTATTTGAACACATAAGAGACTGTACCTAAGTGCACTGTGCCCTGTGACATTCTTTTGAGTTAATAAAACTATTATAATAATCATATCCTGCATGTCTCTTTCCCCATACGAACATGTAAACCTACTGTATGTAATTATCAACAAAGGAATTTTTAAAACATTCTAAATAAAAAAAAAAATCAATACAATTTGAGTTTGAAAAAAGCAAAATTCAGCACATATAATTTGAATCTAAAATTGTAAATGTTCCTTTTAAACTTTATAAAAAATTTTTTTAATTTTAAAGCTATTTTACTTGAAGTATATTGTTTACGTGATTTTGTCTAGAAATCTATTCCATTCATTGTGACCTATGAAACTTTATTTTTCACAAAATGCTGGCTTTTCCTAGAGATCAATGTGCCTTTGACTGAATATTCCTTAATGTTTTAATTTTCAAGAATAAACTTTATACTGATAAGTTACTCATTAGAATCAATCAATGCTTTCTTTTGACAGTGTTACAGCCTATGTTGCCCTTAGTTTACTTTAGAATTTTCAAAGGAAAATGTTTAAACAAACTGGTATTGCAACTATTTTGTCAATCATTTTAGTATTAGAAGTAGAGGTTTGTTCCTGACCTTTGCACACTCTCTCATACTGCTGTATAGTTTCTTCCACTTTCTGGTTACTTAACTGCTCCTGCAAAATGAAAGAATATGGATGAAATGCAAATATAATAAACACACAAAAATATTTAATAGTGGGGCCTGAAAACAAGGTTCAATATTAGGTTTGAAATCTGTCTCCTATAAAGCTGACTACTAGTCTTGAGCTTCCAAGTTTCTTACACCTTGGAGGAAAGGGCAGAGTGAGAGTGAAAAAGAAAAAAATAGTAGTAAAAATTTTTATACCTTTAATCTACCTCAAAGTTACTGCCCAGTCATTTTACTTAACATTTTACGTTATTGTGTTTTCTTATGCACCACAAAAAGCAAAAACAGGGAAATGGAGGTTTACTATGTAGTTAACAAAGGAGGAATAAGAAAAACCATTAAAAAGTTCCATATAAATGCAGTAAATTCAAAATGCAGAAAAATAGGAGCCTCCAACCAACCCCCTCTATGTAGAAAGTAGATGGAAGGTTTGAATAAGCAAAGCCTTAAGGGCAAAGAGTAAATATTAGCACTAAAAATCCTCCAATTCCAGTTTTGTTTTATTTTAATATTTTTTTAATTGATAAAAATAAGAGGGAGAGAGATGGAAACATCAATGATGAGAGAAAATAATTGAGTGGCTGCCTCCTGTACACCCCACACTGCGGATCCAGCCCACAACCCAGGCATGTGCCCTGACCGGGAATTGAGCTGTAACCACCTGATTCATAGGTCAATGCTCCACCACTGAGCCACCGCAGCCGGGCCAATTCCAGTATTAACTTGTTAAGTAATCCAACCCATTTCTTATCTAACTTCAGCACTACCTTCTTAGGTTATAAGTCTTAGAATAAATCATTACAGAACCTAAAGATCTCTGAATTGTATTATGAAAGTATAGATTGCTTTATTAAAACGGTATTCAGTTAAAAGTTTAAATCCATGTTTATATATGAATATTCATTAGTTTGCTTCATTTAAAAGGAAATGTGTAAAGACTACAATAACCTTTCTTTATTGCTGCTTTATCCAATAAATTGATGTCAAGTAAAATATAACCATTTAGGAGAACCGAAGATGGCGGCATAGGTTAACACCAGAGATTGCCGCCTGGAACAACCAAGTCAAATTAAGCTTGATCCAGGGAAAGGACAACGTCCAGAGCCACAGGAGGGCTGGCTGAGTGGAAATTCTACAACTAGGAGTTAAGAGAATATTATATCCAGACTCAGAGGAGGCGCAGTGCTGAAGTGAAATTCTCAGGTACCAGTGCACGTGAACGGGCTGGCGGCGGGGC